TACGTCTACGCCAAATTTCATCAAGATCAATTCAGCCGTTTAGGCTACAAGCTCTTACAATCCATCTATCTAAGCTTTCGCATTTATAATTCCTGTTGAAAAAACAAACGCGCAAGTTTCGGATTCTAGTAATTAACATTTTCGGTCGTATAACCTTTTTACACCCGCAGTATCAAAACGTTGGTGATCTTAACCCTTCTTACAATATGACAGATGGCCACTTGCAGATAAGCATCTAGTGGCCGTAAACTTTACGCGGCTGTAAAACACAGTTAACCCTTCGCATGCTAATCGAAGCGACGAGACTTATTAATTGGACCGCTGTTACACCGTAACGTAATTAATATTCGGTGTTTAAAAATTAGAAAATGTATTGTTTTGCTTAGGTAAACAGCTTGTTTGAACTATCAATGATTACGAATGGATAGATTTGGAGCGTCAAACTCGAATGTTAAATCATCATCCACTTGCCCTTATACCTTACGGAGGGTCGGCACAGTATGTGCTGGTCTTCCATACATCTCTATCAGCCGTCATATCTGAATCCACTCCTTTCTTAAGCATATCCTCTTTCACACAATCCATCCATACTTTCTTCGGTCTTCCTCTTCCTTTGTAGCCGTCCACATTCAATCTTAACACTTTCTGGTTTATGTCCCCATCGTCAAACTCGACTGTTAAATGAAAAGAGATAATTCTGTTGTCTACTTTAAAGTTAATTCGACTTGTAACACTTGTGACTTAGTAACCAATAAAGCTTTATAATTTGTCTGCTTTCCATAGAAATATTGTCGGGATCTTCAAAATGTACACATTTTTTAACCAATTTAAAAAAAAGTTCGCGCAAAACATCAACTAAAATGTAGCCTAGATGGCGCTGTGAACATACCTAACCAAACTTAAAAGATAAATTTTCTATATACTAACTACAGTAATTAAAATCCGTAAGAAATTTCAGTTTCAGTCGATACAAAAAGATGCATAGTTACATAAACACACCATTCGTGTAAGTTACAGTGGTAGAGCCCGCTTTAACTAGCACGAATGGGTCGGCTCGCCCGGTAATACCACGACCACACAGAAGACAGGCGTAAAGTGGAGGCAATTCCGCGTTTCGTCTGATGAGTGTGGTGCCGGAGGCCCAATTTTAGTCCATCTCCCGTTCCACCCTTTTCTTACAAGGATAGGATTGGATGAGAAAGTGGATTTGACAGTGGAGGAGACGCATAGGAAGGGGAAATATCCTCTTTATTTGCGTCTCTTCCTCCGATTTAGGGTAGGTAACGCATCTGCAATTGCGGATGTCTATGGGCAGCAGTCGCTTCTCCATTTCGGCAGATTTCGGTAGCCGCTTGCTCGTTTGCCACTTTATTGTAAAAAAAAAAGTTATTACGCCACGGTGTGAGAGGCGGCCGTGCACTTCGTCTTAACTCTCTAAAAGGGTTGAATGTTTAACTTTGTATTTTATAACACGACTGGCGCGTTGTTGAAAGTTCATTTGGAAATTAAAATGAACGCCATTGTTATTAATTAATTGCTTACGTTATCTGTATATATTGTGTTACCGATTGTAATCTTGATAAAAAACATAAACGGAACTCTTTTTTATTATATTTGAACATTGTATCGTCTGATATTAATTAGGCTGCAAAGATAATTAGATAAAAATTAAATATTCATTACAATAAAGTTACAATGCTCATGAATTAATATAAGTAACAAAAACTGTAAAAGAGCAACTAAATAATCAAACTTTTGTTAACGTTTCCCAACAAATTGTGTAATATTTTGACAGTTCATATCCGCGTTAAAAATAACCTAAAAGAAAGTTAACCGCGGGAACAATTACACGCGTTCACAGATTATGTGAGTAGTGTTGTGTTTCATAAAAAGTTAATCGATTCCAAAATGTATCGATTACAATTTACGCGTGATTGAGTAACAGCCGGCGGGTTTCGTGTGATTTTATCTATGCCTATATCAAATTACACTCAATTGTTTTGTGGCTATCTTCATTGATACGTAATTTGATAATCAAAATTGTTAATTTACATTGAAATGTAATTAATTCCTTTAACTTTAACTGCAAGATATATTTATTAGCCACTTCTATTAACACTAACAAGGTACACTTGTGCGTCTAATGCTGGCAAAAAATTTTCCCGCAAGTTTTAAGCAATCTGTTTACCCTTTTTATGTTTAAAATCGTGATAGTTTTGTAATTTAAAGTCTAGTTTTTACTATGTCATGATGATGTTTGAATAATTTAAAATATGCAAAACGATGGCCGCCATATTGTCCGATTTGACATTTACATTTTATTGCTTTATCTACACGCGATTTCGTTATAACGCTTCGCAATTAGCGAAGCTATTTCTATTGCGAAAAGCGAAATGTTATCGTGCATAAATTAGCGTAATTTATCAACGCGTTCAATTTTAACATTTAATAATAATTTGTCTGCTATCATGAGTCATAGTGCGGACATTACGTTTGGGAATTCAGGTCGTTATTTGACGTAATTTTAGGTTATATTGTCCGACAATTCGGTCATTTCAGTAATTGTTTTGGCCGTTTTCTAATAACTATCAAGGGATTTGATAGTTTTATACAATTTTTAATGTATTACGTCATTTGATATGGACTTAATTATTTTTAAGCAGTTACAAAAAAATGACGTGTTAATTAGAGGCCGTCGTTTGATTATGGCAACAGTTATAGACTTTGCATTTATCATAGAGGTAAAAATAAATTAAGATTGCAATCTTACATTGCATTTATTATGTTTGAAAAGATTAAAAAAACGTAAAATCCCTCTAACTCATTATTTTTAAACGCATAATGACAGATAATAAAAAATGTAAAACACTGGCCACAAAGACAAAAGCATGAACAATTTAAAAAACGAACTGCAATCTGGTAATGGCTGACGCGATGATCATTTCCCGCCGTATTTCGCGTCAAAATTATTTTGTTAATTGCCGCCGGCGCCGACGGCCGACAGCGATATCGACACTGTCTTTTAAATCAATTCCGTTTTAAATGTTAACCAAAAATTGTCCCTGACAGATAAAACAGTAAAATATATAAATATGCTTTATAGAAACTGTTGTTTTTTTAATCGTAAATATAAAATGGGTTCATTTATACAATTTAACCAAAATACTTAAAATCACCTAAATAACAATTTAAACATTCACAGAAAACGACTATGCGCTAATATTAAGAACACCCTAATAGTCTGACGGCCAAATTCTGAAACGAATCTAAAGTTCACACACACCTTTGTACTGTAATCTCGTTTTAATGTTAAGATTATATGGAGGTGCCCACACTACTATAAAGATGTTCACCTAAACAGTTGAATTGGCTACGAAATAAGTCTGTTTTAAACAAGTTTAGTCAAAGTGCGCCCGTTTTATATACTTTGTAAGACACTTACAATGTAATAGACGTCATTTGTAATGAATTTAAAGTTTATCATTTGCTAGCCGTTGCTCGCGACTTTATCTCTGTGAAATTAAAAAAAATTAATAGTCTATGTCACTCACTGATAACGTAGCTTTTTAACTACGAAAGAATTATTAAAAACGGTCGAATAGTTTTTGAGTTATTTCGATACATACAAAAATTAAAATATAAAAAATCTTTTCTTATTATAACACTAGCTTCACGTGCGACTTCATCCGAATGAAATTACGAAAATTTTATTTTATTGTTTACATTTGTCAAATTATCGATTACAAATGTCAAAATGACATGACATGATGACAACCTTGCTTTCTTGATGTTGGCAGCAACTTATGGTCTCTGTCCCACATTAGGGCTTTTATCCAATTTACCCCCTAAGTTTAATGGCGTTAAAACATATAGCCTAAAGCGTGACACAAGTGTAGGGCTGTTTATTAAAAAAATATTTATTCAAAAATATGCTGTAATCTGACATCTTAGGCAACAAAGAAGTGTGTGTTTACGCTTTATTATAATAGTATAGAAGTATAGATATTAGTATAGAAGATTCTATAACATTTAAATATCGTTTCAGTATTACTCCGTGAGCCACGCCTTAAGACGTTTAATATTATTTATAATTCAACAACCTTAAGTGCGTTATTGTTCTTAGCTTTACTCCGAGATGTCCCCGGGGCATTGGAATTATATTATATCTCCCCCTCTATTATTCTCCGCTGTGAATAAGTAATGGGAATTATGTATTAAGGGGGAAGTATTTAAGGTTTCGGATAAATCATATTAGGCGAGATTCTTTAGGCTTTTTTGTAGAAAAACAGAAGGAAATTTATAGGGTGGATATCGTCGGTTATTTAGATGTAATATTTTTGGAGTTTTTTTTTTGTTATTAAACTGTCGTGGTTTTTACAAAAATAACATTCGTAGGTTTTTTTTTACAACGATCGGGATGTTTTAGTTCCCTGGTTGTTTATTTTGTTATTTATTTAAGTTTCAACAGTTTCAACAGAAAAGGTTCAACTATATAGGAAAAATGTTAACGGTTCAAGTAACAGTTTAATTTACGCAGTGAAACCTGAACTTATGTAGTAGACTTAAGTTACGTTAATTTATTATGTTATACTTCGACTTTGTTTTAATCATACTAATATTATAAATGTGAAAGTTTAGATGGATGGATGTTTGTTAGAGTTTGTAGCCTAAATGGCTGAAGGGACCTCGATGAAATTTGGCATAGATGTAGAGGATAGTCTGGAAGAACACATAGGCTACGCACTTTTGTTTTTTTTTTAATTCCAAGCGGACGAAGTCGCGTGCGAAAACTAGTTTGTAATAATAACGAGGTAGTAGTATAAATTACTTCTAGGTTTTAAGACTTTAGAAACAGAATTTTCTTTTTATTTGAAAAGTAATTCGATTCTATTTATTCCAAAAACAAAACACTAACACTGTTTGTATTGTAGTTTATTTGTACTATCTTAATATTATTTTTTTCTTTCTAGATGAACATAAAATGACTAGTTAAAACCAAAATGGATTCCCCGGTGTCATCTCAAGATAATGACATCGAAGTCAACGTGGTGTCTGGAGCAAGCAGTCCGGATATTACTTCCTCGCCGTCTAGAAGAGAACAGAAGAGTCCGTTTTATGAGTTGAAGAAGGATAAAGAGGAGAAGGCGACGGGCAGCGCGCCATACACCAGCTTCTCTATTAGTTCTATATTAAATAGAACGGAGCCGAGAAGAGAATCAAATGTTCTAGAAGCCGCGTTAGCTGCTAATCACTTTGGATCCAATGATGCGATGCTTTCAAGGTACGTTTGAATATACATAGCTAGAAAAAGTTATCCTTGATAAAACGATATTTTTATAAAAACATACATTTAGACTTAAATGCAGTACAGACATCGACTTCATAATGAAAATCATCAAATTATATGCACAATGCACAAAAAAGTTGTAAAGTTTGTGCTAACTCAATTAGATTTAGAACAACTGTAAAAATAAATAAGACTTAATATTGCATATTTTGATGAATGGATGTTTGTTATCGTTTCTACTCTAACTGCTGATCAGATCTCGATGAAGTTTGTGATTTGGAGCATAGTCTGGAAGAACATATAAGCCACTAGTTACGTTTATTGTAAGCATGACGGAATCGCGGGCTAAAGTTACAAAACATATTGTAGTATATTAAAGGTAGAATTGGTAATAGTAAGATACGTCAATAAAACTATGCGGTCGGATGCCAACTGATTTATTAATTACCAATTCTACTCTCAATATACTACACATATATCTTCATTTTACCAATAATGTCATATTTTCATCACGACGTTTATTCTTTTTTATTTTCCTTTATATTTTCGACGTTTATTTTCCTTCAACGCCTGTTTTTTTTTATTTTTACAATATACTGAGTTTCCAAAGCTTTTCTATTGTTACAATGGTGGTTATAATTTAATATTTTACATAATATTACTACTACGATGCATAACAATAACAACATTCCAAGTATATAATATACACACCTACAACTTTGATTCACAGCAAACTCTTAGAGGCGATAGACAATGCGCTCGCAAACTGACCAGAAGTTTGCTACACCAGCGAGCTTTTGCAATAGAATAAGACATTTTGCATAAAATATTTATTTTTTACATGAAATGTATAACTTGACAGTACCTTTATAGGCTTTCTCTAGATATAGTCGTTTATTTTCTGACACATTAATAATTTAGTTGATAAATTCTTTTAAATGCATTACAGAATTTTCGTTGACAAAACATATACAAAAAAAACCCAACGTTTTAATGTACAAATGTTATCCGTTATATTTACAATTTACTATATATACGAGTATAATAAAACAGTCCCGTCTTCATATCTAAACTTAAAAATTTTTACACTTGTGACCGAAAACTGATGCTGGGTTTCTGAAGTTTCCACTTATTTTGTCATTGACTAGAGATTCATTAACGTTAGGTAGACTTATCTTTCAACAAAGTGGAATTCAAGTTACATAGTTCGGAAACGCATTTCATATAATAATTTTATTGTGCCTAAGACACTATCAAATTAAATAAAGCTGGGAAACCGGTCATGAAACATTTTAATATAAGTCAGATGGCAACCGGCACTTACGAAAGAAATGTTTAAATTACGGTACAGAATTTACCGTTAGCTTACGATATGGTATTATTTTCAATCTTTAGTCTTACCATCTTTCTCCTTATCCTATTCCCGTGGTCGGCGCAACAGGTTTTTGTCCTCCACATAACTATCATACGTCATCTCAGTCATCACCTTTTTGATCGTCACCTTTTACGCAATCCATCCATCTCTTTCTACGTCTATCGGTGTCCATACTCATAACTAACGTCCTCCTTGTAACATGGGATACCATGCTAACTTTTTACTCCTTACCTTCTCTACTACTAGGACTATTATCTACTATTTTCAACCTTTAGTTTATCCGTTAAAAACAACCATGAACTTTAAACCAGCTATTTTAAGTAATAAATTACTCAACCGCTATCCAGTAGCCGATCGATCGGCCAGATTAAGTCCCGTACAGACCGCGGCGGTCGGATCGGAGTTATAGCAGCCGCGGTCAGCGCAAGTGCCCTGTTACAACTTTGCCCTCAAGTTATTTAAGTGAATCTCGGTAAAGGATATTTTGCAACTTAGTAATTTAAGTTAATACTATGCCGGTTTAATTATTTATAAACGATATACGGTACTTTTTATCTATAATAGCCGAAGGCTTGATTTACTATTTGTACTTACTTCGCTGTAATAGACACCATAAGTTAAATTTTTCAGAAGAGTGAAGAGTAATACATTAGTATGCTTTTGTGGTTTACTTTAAAACTACGATAGTAGAAATTATAATTCCAAATGTAGGGTTCTGAAGTCGTAGGTGAACGGTAATCGCTACGAAATATGTAGCACCGTAGCACCGTAGTACCTCTACGATATAACTTAGGTCTACAACAAACAACTTTCCTTCAGTTGTAAGTTTAGATTACCGCACCAACAACGCAATGGTGTAGGCGTCAATAATTTATCCTGACAATATCATACACAATTGAACTGAAACAAAAGAACATATGTAACTATATACACTACAACACCACTAAACAAACATAATATAATCTGTGGTATTTTCAAAATGCAATTTTATAAGATTTTGATTTAATAAAATTATAAACAAAATAATATCTATCACGTTGTGTGAAACCGCAGATAACTCACATCTAAAAACTTTCCCCAAGCAAACAGAATAAAACAAAAACCTTAGCAACTATTGGCCGTTTAATCCCTAAAAGGAAACATCATTACCCGACCTAATCAAGTAGGGGCTTACAAGCAGTTTCCCCTTTATAGGGCGAAACGACCCTTTTATCTGGCAACATTGCGCGTAAAAGCCGAAGAAGCGCGTAAATGGCGGGATACAAATTGGGGAACGGCGGACTGTCTTGTCCGACATGGCGGACATCTTGACGTTTCATTTATTATCATTATTCCGACAAATGTTGATGTGACAGTTTACTTTGACTCGACAAGATTTTGAAACGTAATCTAAAGACGTATTATTCTGTAAAGCGTTAAATTCTAAATTAAAGAATGTTTTTGTAAACTTATTTCTGATTAGCTTTCGCCCGCGAATCCGTCCATGTGGAATGAAAAAGAAAAAGACTATAATATTATAAATGCGAAAGTTTAGATAGATGGATGTTTGTTTGCGTTTGTAGCCTAAACGGCTGAACGGATCTCAATGAAACTTGGCTTAGATGTACAGCATAGTCTTGAGGAACGCAATTGCTTTTTTTAATTCCATGCATGTTGAGTCGAGGGTCAAAGCTAGTAATAAATAAATCTTAAATCAATCGAAATAACGGATATATCTAATTTGATAGAAATAATGTACTTTAAATGCTATGTTCAGTTTAAAATGTAAATATACATACTGTTTACTTTTACAATAAAAATTGTTCTTAATTTAAAGACATCTGAAAAGTCTTCATTTTCCTGTTTGGTTAATTACACGGGCGGCGGCGACGGACATTCCTTGCGACGGTTTGTAAACGATCTGTCATTCCGTACTCATCTTGTAGACATAACTTTTTTGTTTTGTTTTTAATTCGTTACACTCCCCCTTGAGCTGAGATTAATTAAGTAATCTTAGAAATAAAAATACGCTTTTTTCCCTTTGATTAAAGATTTAAAAAGATTCAAGGGATGTTTTGGTTTAATTAGGGATTTCAGTGTTTGGTAACCTTAAGTTAAGATAAAGTAAATCTTTTCTTTAAGATTAATTTATATTCTTTTAGTAATAGTAATAAAATCTATACAACTTAAGATGCTATAAATTTGTAGAATACACGTATTTTATAATAATTACTGATTGCTTACTATCGGACGCTTTTGGTGTCTTTATTAACGGTTTTATAAGCGTTACGTATCAGAGAGCATAGCTTGTAAATTTGGGGAAATTAATCGAAAATTCATCGACAAGAATTGTGCTATGAGTATTGGTCGTAAACTGACAAAACTTATATGTTTAGTCACGGAATCACTAGATGGCGTTATTAGAGAATAGTATTTTTTATTCTCTGATACATACTTTAAATGTCGCCAGTGTTTAAAATTATTCCCCTTGTGTAAGTCAAATATTTTTTAATCCAAATAGTAACTTAAAAGGTTATTCAAGTAGTATTTAATAAATGGAAAGAACCCCATTCAATATGGTCGGTGTTAATTCTAAAGAGATGCTTCACCCCAAATCTTGACGTCGAGAGTCTTTGGGGCGGTGCAATGAAGCTACTTACCCCATCGTAAATATAAATAATTTAAGTGTGGTACAAGTAATGAGAAATCGACTCTTGAGTTATATTCCTGACGATAAACTAACGCAGTTTGTGTACTAGCTGTTGCTCGCGACTTCGTCGGTGTTAAATTATATAATAATAAAATTAGTCTATGTTACTCACAGATAAGTTATCTTTCTAACGGTGAAAGAATTTATAAAATCTGCCAGTAGTTTTTGAGTTACTTCAACACGTACAAAAATACAAATCTTTCCTCTTTAAAACATAAGTATAGACATAAAAATAAAAAAAAAGTATAGTGTGTTTTTGAACCTACCTTTAATGTCTTTAGTAAATGTGACATATTCAACGATATAAAAGGACTCAGAAAACTACCAACACTACTATCTGCACCTCTTTTAAGATTAAAATGTTACTCTTCAGATTACTTCAGGCAGTATAGGCTTCAATATACACAGTCATGAAAAATTCTTACTGATATGAGAGTTGTTAGTATGTCCTGTTAGGCAAAATTGATTTTATAACCAATAATTCAAATTTATTTGTAGTTCAATTTTAAACTAAAAATAATTCAAAGTTATTATTTTTAGTTTAAAATTGAGTAAGGTTATAGATAAATTTTTCATAAATCAATTATTTATATAAAAATTATAAAACATCTCAGATATATTTACCACTTTAAATCCGCTCCGCTTATACTTTGTACCAAACCCTCATCACTCAAGTTATGTACTTGAGTTGTTTAGGGGAGCCATCTACTTACTTATCCGTTTAAGTAACTTGATATGTGCCGTGATTTTTTCATGGTCTCAAAATATCTTGAGGTTTTATAACAAGACGGGTAAGGAGAATTATTTTGTTGTTCGAATGCAAATATTTCAGTTTCCTGTTTTCATAGACTCTTATATTTTTTGACACTGTTCTTAAACAGTAAATTTTTAATACTTTGAATAGAAAATTATAGTTTTGTAAAAGAAAAATGTTATTAAAAAACCATTCTGACTTATCCTAGGTACGTATCGATGGTTCTGGTAGAAAAAGGGCAAAGATAAAACGAGTAGAGTCAAGTATTACTAAATGAAAACGTGTTTAGTGGAAAAGAGAGGCAAGATTACAAATGAAAGTCTCTCTCTGGATTACCGACGTGTATACTCCGATTGAGTTAATGTACGTAAAAGCTCCGTATTCGGAGCTTTACGTATGTCGATCGAATCGGATATTTCTACGAAATCCAATTCAGTGCTGGATGCGTTAGCTTAATTCCATTGCAATGTTCCGCTGGACGTGAAACGGAATTCTATTTACTTCTCTATTTTAATGTTAAGTAATGGTTTTTTGATTGTCTGTAACATATTCGTATGTCAGATGTTTTGTAGATCAAGTATTTGATCTGAAGGAACCTATCTAAACAATTTGTAAAGTTCAAAAGCTTCTATTTAAATAACAGTCTGTACGATACGGGGACATTTAAGCGTTAAAAGCTTTCAAGACTAGAAAAATTGTTGTTAGACGGTACACTGCGTCCTGGGAGATAAGTGAAAAGATAGCTCCGAGACGCTTTTAAACGCGTCCGAGGCTGTCCCCGTCGCTAACAAAAGACACCCGTGTCGTTTCCACGAACAACGGATACAACTAAACACTTTATAACATAAAAGAAAAGTACAAACGCCATTATTAGTGAGAAGAGCGGAGTGTCAGGTCGACGCGCCGCGAGTGAAAGAGCTTGCGGGTGACGCGCATTGATTTTTATACCCCTCTAGGGGGGCGGGGTCCCGAAAGAGCCAATCAGAGCTCGGTGAGCCGACCAATCACGTTTTGGCTTCTTCCTTTCCGCTTTTAAAGGAAGTAGTACTTTATCGTGTAATGGAATTTGAGTTTGGAACTTCTCAGCGGGGATTAAATGCGGGACCGATGCAAATTGGTGATGCGGCTGAGTCTTTTTTGTACTATTATCGACTTTTGTGGCTCTTTCAAGTTGAACATTGATTTGCTTTACATTGCGAACTCATTTAAAATGTCTGCTTAGTTTATTTCAATGTTATTAGAAATCAGGAACAGAGTTAGCGAAATAAATTGATAGGAACGTTTTTAAAAGAGTATTCTTTGCGGTAGCTCCTGTTAAAGTATGTTTATTTTTTACATAAGTAACAATATTATGTTAAAACTTAATCGATTTAATTGTCCCTTATTTAATTCTTAATTGAATAACAATTACGTCGATGTCTTTTATTACTCCATTTAATCAAAGTAATAAATAACATTTTTATAATCTTAACAATAATTTATATTTTTATATATTACAAAACAACACTCTTCGACTCCATTCCCTTCACAATTTCCCATTAGCAACCGTAGCCGCTCTGTAGGCCTTTGTGGATAAAATATCGTCAATAAAGGCGCCAATCGTTATTGTTATTTATAATGTCGATACAAAATAGAGCACAGCGCACTAGTCTATAGTGATGTGACGATACTAAAGTTCTATATATTTCTTTTTGCAATTGTTAAAAGAATCTACATTGTGTCTACGCTTTTGCTACGTGAAGTCTACGGTGTAGAAAGTCTACGGCTACTTCGCTACGTTGTAGCAATACAAATGCTACAAAAGTTGGCCCGTAGCAATTGTCGTAGCCGATGCGGGCTATTGCAACTTGCAATTTTTAAACGTCTGGAATTAATTTTCATAGAAAATAATAAACTTATAATCACTTTAAACATAGTTAAGTTATGTAACGTTCTTAGGCATTTGGTAATTTTATGTTTTAGGTGAATATAATTTTTTTAGAAGTAATTATTAGTACCTATTTTTACATCAAGTAAACATAAAAATATGATGTTTACTTATAGAAAATATTTAAGTTAAAATGGCATACTAATACACCGTTACAGTTTTAACAATGTAACTTGGTTACATCAATTTTTTTTTCTTATTTCATTAAACAACAACCTTCACTTTAATGCATCTTAATCAGTTTCTACTAAATATCTTTACTTTTCTTATCGTAACTTAACTTGTAAAACAATCTATCGATAGTTGGTACATCAATCTATCGATGTTTTCACCTTACATCACTAGAAAAGGCGCTCCCACAAGCAAGGCCCCAATCCTCTTTGTTCCCAGCAATCGATATTTATACAGCGATATCTGCTAACCGAGGAGGCTTGTTTATGTCGTACAAAAGACGATTTTTCAATGAACAAATAAAAAAATATCTTTACATTTTAAATGCGAGTTTCAAGCCGATCTGACTTTGTATTCTATTTGTTGCCAGATGTCTATAGATTTGAATTTTAACATTGCGGTTATGTAGTGATTACCTACTTAAAATAACTTATATAAACAGTTGTCAGATCTTAAATTTAATCACAATTTCGTTGTAAGATTAACCTTTTATTACTCCGTGTTTTGTCTAATGTTATCACACAGCGTTTACCTTAAATTGTTAGCCAAAACTTTGATTTCAGAAGATTATCATACTTCGTCATCGTCGGCAATCGGATGGATTGTCGGTTGTTACTACATTTTACCAAATCAGTTTGAAAGATAACATAAGCTACTTACACAGTAGAACCTCGATAACTCAAACATCGGTAACATAAATACCTATATAACTTCAAAAAATAATATGTTCCCTTCCCATCAGAGTCTAAAACCTCTACATAGACCCTTCATAACTTAAAACCTCTGTAACTTAAAATGTTTTGTGTTTCCCTCGTACTTGAACTTATCGAGGTTCTACTGTATTATAAACGCGAAAGTTTAAATGGATGTATGGATGTTTGTATTTGTCGTAGCTTTTAAGCTGAAATGCCAATTTTTATCTAAAGTTCAGTTTACTGTTGAACTGATTTAGATGAAATTTGGCATAGATTTAGAGGGTGGAAGACCGGAAGAAAACATAGACGACTTCCTTTTTTTACATTCCACGGGAACGGAGTCGCGGGATAAAGCTAGTATTTATATTTATATAGAGATATAATTTATAAGATTTCTATTAAGGCGGTAAAATATGATATAACGGTGAAAATTTCAACAAATTGTAAAATTGTAACTAGGTTTTTCTTACTACTGTCCTAACACAAAATAATCATACCTCTCATTGTTACAGATTGGGTCTTATCTCGCAGTGGAGCGCGCTGGCCGGGAGATACGGCGGCCTAGTGCCCGCGCCCTGGTACTGGCAACGACCGCACGAACGGACCCCGCCTAGAGGTATGTATATAAGTTTGTATGTATGTATACAAACGCCATAACATAACTAATACTATGACGTCACGGTACAGATAAACTATTTTTTTTTATATAACAAGGTGGCAAACGAGCAAGCGACCACCTGAAACCGCCAAAATGGCGAAGCGACCGCTGCTCATAGACATCAGCAATTGCAGATGCGTTGCCTACCCTTATGCGACGGAGGAGGAGACGCACATATAGAGGATATTTCCCCTTCCTACGCATCTCCTCCACCGTCAAATCCACTTCCTCTTCCCAACCTCTCCTTATAAGAAAAGGGTGGTAAAGAGAAAGGGACTTAAATTAGGCCTCCGGCACCACACTCATCAGACGAAACACGGAATTGCTTCCATTTCACGCCTGTCTTCTGTGTGGTCGTGGTATTACACCGGGCGTGCCGGCCCATTCGTGCTAAGATGTTAAAGCGGGCACTACCACTGTTAAACTAACTAAACTAATGTCATTTCGATTATAGAATCAAAGACTATGCACAACTGTTGTGCGGTTGTCGATTGTTTTGCAGCATTCAATTGTTTAGTTGCATAATTAATTGAGTATTGTGCCCACCGATATATAAGATTATATCAAAGCAAGACTAAACAGTTGTGCGATAGTTTAGTCTATAGTCTGCGAGCTCTGATAGATTTTAAGATTTATTTTATTCGGTACCGTTATCTTGACTTTCTCATACTAAGACATAACAATTATTTGGTTAATGCGTAATTAAACCAAGAAAATGTAGATTTTTAATGCATACCTTTGACTTTATTTTTATTAAAGACTGGCTGTTGCTCTTAACTACGCCCGCATTAAATTGAAAAATAATAATACATAGCCTATGTTATTCACTGATAAATTACCTGTCTAATGGTGAAAGAATTTTTGAAATCGGCCCAGTAGTTTTTGAGTTACAATACATACAAAAAAAATCTCTTCTCTTTATAATATTAATAAAAATAGCTTTATTTTGCCTTAACACAGGTTACATAATTCTATTTATAAATTACAAGTTATAAATAATAAAACTATAATATTACTGATTTTAATGTTTGCTGACACTAAACATCGACACAGTAATTTTTATTAACATAACCTATATTAATGACGGTAGTAAATCTTACAATAATTAGTATGAATTATAATATATCGCATGGCAACATTATCGGAATGATGTCACCGTGGCAGTGCGACAGGCGACGGGGCGACGCACTGGTACGGCCTCGCGTCGACGCTAATCGATTCCGGTATGAATCCCGTCACTGATACAGCTGTGATTTGAACACGTTGAATTCCTTGTTTTAAGTGTTGTTAATGATTTTATTTCACACTTCTTTTTGCTCGCGTCTTCGTCCGCGTAATAAAAAAATAATTCGAATACAGCCTATGGTACTCACTGATAAAGTAGATAAGCTTATATGGAGGTGAACACACTACTCGATTTTTTGATTGTGCAACTAAACAGTTGATTTTTTTTTTCGTAGACATATTCAATTATTTTTTTATTTTTATTTTATTGAAAATATTACATAGAACACAAAATTAAAAAGATTCACAAATATGGCCCCGCAAAAACCATACAATTGGTTTGTCCGCGGGTGCGGTGGTTACAATATAACATATGTAGAGTGTATATAACATATCGCTTACATGTAACGTAGATAGATTTTTGAGATGTAATGTTGTGAAGTAAACCGATTAGAACACATTCCTTTAGAGTTTGAGCCTATTTGAATATACTAAGTTGTGCCAGGTGTTCTTTGTCGACATTCTTGTACTTGAGTACGTAACAAAATCTACATAGTTAGTATTTAATATTTTAGGGGTCTTTAATAATGTAAAGAGTGAAAATAACAAGCTTGAGAAGGAAATGTAATCTTATTAGTTTTCCCCGCGACTCCGTCCGCGAAATAAAAGAAACAAAAGTAAGTGGCCTATCTGTTCTTCCAGACTATCCTCTACATCTATGCGAAATTTTATCGAGATCCGTTCAGCAGTTTAGGCTACAAACTCTAACAAACATCCATCCATTTAAACTTTCGCATTAGTAAGATTCAATTGTCATTTCTTGTACATTGTCGTACAAACTGATATAATATCACTCGAAATTAAAAAATCGTTTTCGAGTACTTCGTCACATTGGTATTTGAAATGACTTTATAATAAAAGAAATAATATAGCTAGGTAATCTACATGTACGTGGTAAAACAACAAAAGTATGCTCTAATACTCTCTTTAGAGTATAGACTAAAAAATAGGCTACTGAAAAATACAAAAAATAACATTTGACAATAGTATTTATTTTTGGTCGCACAAGTCACGTTTCAATTCAAAGGCATAATGTCAAAATGTCAGAGTAACGTTACTTAAAAATAATAAAAAAAACATACGAAACAAAGAAAACTTTAATAAACTAAACTGTAGTTTAAAATTCGCCATAAATTTCTGGTTAAATAAACTCTTTTAAAAATGGAACAGAAAGTACGTTTCCACATTTCATACGCTAAAAGACATGTTTACGGTAAACAAGCAATCGTCATTTCGCGTCTCCGCTCTCTCAACCCCACTCATTTCGCTTTAATTTCCCAAAACCCATCTCGGAGCGAAACAAAGGCAACGCCATTTCACGCGGCCCAAACCGACCGAACAATACTTTTCTACCATCCGCCTACAATTATCTACGTATAGCAACACTGGTGAAATGTCAAAGGTATCTCTGTCTCGCTTACTCTCGCGTAGCTTCTCTTTTCGTTTCGCGCCAAACGCTATGTTGGTACATATGCACGGTGTTGCCTCGTGCGGGTTGTTTTAATTTTCGAATGCGGTTTGTTCGGATTGATGTTACGCTTTTAGTGTATTTGTTGGCCTTTTATTTTTTATAGCAATCGATGACGTTTGTCATCCGAGATTCTACATTTGAAAATTGGAAAGGTTTTTTTTACGGAAAAAGGATAAATGTAGGTTTCCGGTATTGGATTAGTTTTTAGATTTTATGTAAAAAATACAATAGTTTACATATTTACTAACTATACATAAGGTATATGAATTTACACTATTCAGTTCATAAAAGTTTCTTTCTACTCGTATATTTCTCTATACTAATATTATGAAGAGGAAAGATTTTTTTATATTTATAGGTATAACTCAAAAACTACTAGGTCGATTTCAAAAACTCTTTCACCATTGAAAAGCTACGTTATCACTAAGTATTTTTTTCAATTTTTTAACTCCACACGGATGAAGTCGCGATCAGCAGTTAGTTTTATATAAAATATGAAGACATTGAAGTGTTATGATTAAACTAGGCCGTGTGCTGGAGAGTTCTTTCCTCTACCGTACACCTGGTTCTGAGGTCACGTTGTCCGCGCAACTATGCATAAAGTACTTACTTAATTATAATGCGCAATTAACTTAAGCTTAGAAACAAAACAAGTGCCTATTGAATAATTTCTAAACGCAATTTGCCAACAAACTCATAAACTGCTTAACTGGTAAGCGTTTGTGTAAACAGAAAGCAACGCTAACAAAGGATTAAATTCTATGGCTTCGAAAATCGATGAATCACGACCGTTGGCCATACAAAAAGACCTTTCACGCCTAACGTTATAATTAATTTGCGGGTTCAAGTTATTTTGGACACTACGCGCTTAGGTCTACATAACAGGAGCTTTGACACTATAAATTACTTGTACAACGGACAGGTCTTGTTATATTGGATAATAATTTTGCATGAATTTAAAAGAGCATAATCAAAAATTTTAAACACATTGGAAAATAATCTTTATGGTAATGGAATAAGGTTTGATTTTAGTGGGAGTTGGAGGTAGTCTTCTCGATTCGATTGTAGTGATTCATTCAACAACGCGGATGACATTCGCCTTCGCGCCGGTGACATGTTCGAATTTCGGTTTTGAATTTCGAACGCTTGCTCATTGGAGCGAAATGTAATGTAGTTTAAAAACACCTGCTTTAGCGCGTTTTGACATTCTGTATTATTCATGCAATCTTTTTAATATTTAAAAACAAAATGCTCGTTTTTTATTATTTTTCTTTATTGTAGTTATTGATTTGTAGGTCGAGAATATCAGTATTTAACCTATAAGCAGAATAGTGATTAAATAAATCATTACCGTACGAAATAGGACTAATAGGTGTACAAAATACGTCGTATTCGTCCGGATTAATTAAATACATTAATTGGATCTGTCACATTAACAAAAGAAACGCGCGAGTGTTGTCACAATGAAACCTTTTTGGTTTAATTACCGTTAATTCTGATTCGTTCGTCAAACCGCCCATTGATGTTGTTTTGTAATTCAATTTGTTACACCCACAGTTGTTTATTTATTTAGTTGATTTAAAAAACAACTTGTTTGAATATTATAACCCTTGTTCCTACTCGTTTTGTATATGAAAATAACATGTAAATAACCGAAGTTTTTGTTACAGAAGAATCAACCAATGAAGAATGCTCAGCAGGGGGTTCCCCCCGCCCGCGCAGTCCCCCTCGGGCCCCTTCTCCTCCATCGCCATCCCGTTCCTCTCCTCGGTCTCCCCGCCTGCACCCCGCACTCTACCCCCAACAGCAAGACCCACAAGATTCCGATCCTGATGTCGACGAGAGCGATGACTTCGATAAAGACGAGAAAAGAGATCCCAATGCCAACTTAGGTAAACGGAAGAAGAAAACACGTACAGTCTTCTCTCGTTCACAAGTCTTCCAACTGGAATCAACCTTCGATATGAAGAGAT